TTAAGTTGGAGGTCCTGGGTTTTGTCATTACTCGCTGTTGACCTTGGGTTACTTTATATAAATTGCCAAGCCTTCATTTTCTTGCTGGAAAAAAAAAATGAAGTAACCAGCAACGCATTTAGTGAGGGCTTCCTCAGTTCCTGGCACTCTTCCATGTTCCTTATATAATAACTGAATTTCTGTAGCCACTTCTGAAGCAAATTTGTTAAATAAATTGATTGACTATTAAAATTTTGTCATTTTAGACCTAAAGGAGGCTTTACATAATATGGTCTAACCTCTTCTTTCACACATAAAGAAAACAAACTGAAAGTCAGTAAAGTGTCCAAGGTCACATGGCTACTTGTGGACAGAACTGAGACTAGAAAATAGTCCCTGGATGGTTTCTGGGGCATTGCGTTGTCTCAATTCCTATAATGTCAATTCAAAGAAGTGTAAAACAGAGAGTTACTACTATACCTTTGAGTCCGGTTTTTGCCGCTTCCAGGAGGTAAAAGTGAGAATCACTTGAAACAGTTTGTGGCATAAAGCAGCCAGAAGAGAACAGAGGTGGGAGAGAATAACAGGTGGAAGTGATGTCAAGAAGGCTTCCTGGAAGGGGAGAGATTTCAAATGGGCTAGAAAAACAATCAAGATGTAGTAAGCAAAAGGAAGGAGTAGACATTCCACTGGGTGCCTGGATGGCTCAGTCGGTTAAGCATCCAACTTCGACTCAGATCATGATGTCACAGTTTGTGAGTTTGAGCCCTGTGTTGGGCTGTGTGCTGAAAGCTCAGAGCCTGGAGCCTGCTTCAGATTCTGTGTCTTCCTCTCTCTCTGCCCCTCCCCTGCTTGCTCTCTGTCTCTCAAAAATAAATAAACATTTAAATAATTTTTTTTTTTTTAAAAAAAGAAGGAGTAGACATTCCTGCAGGAGAAAATGGCATGAATCAAAGTGGGAAGACAAGACAATGGAATTCTGTAGGAGCCGGGGCTTCCCACTGAGAAGTGGCCAATGAACAACATAGGTGGTAGGTGGTGACTAGACTACAGGGACCTGGAATGCCAGGCAAGTTTTGTTCTTAGTTCTATAAGCTATGAGGAACCATTAATCAATCGGCTCAATCATTTGTTTAACAGACTGTTTATTGGGCATCTACCATATGCTCAGCCAATCACTGGATATATAGTGCTGAGTAAGAAGGCTTGGTTCCTACCTCTGTGGGGTTCAGTCTAGTGTGGAGAGATGACCACTAAACTGGTAAATGAATTACAAGTGGAGTAATGCTGGGGCGCCTGGGTGGTTCAGTCAGTTAAGTATCCAACTTCAGCTCAAGTCATGATCTTGCAGTTTGTGGGTTCGAGCCCCACTTCGGGTTCTGTGCGGACAGCTCAGAGCCTGGAGCCTGTTTCGGATTCTGTATCTTCTCTCTCTGCTTCTCCCCCACTCATGCTCTGTCTCTCTCTGTCTCAAAGATAAATAAAAACTATAAAAAATTTTTAAAAAGAAACAAGTGGAGAAAGGCTATGGAAGTCATGCACAAGGTGCTGTGTTATAGGGGAGCTGAGAACACCTTACTCAGGGCAGCCAGAGGCAGCCTCTCTGACCAGTTAGAGGGAGGCCCACGTGGCTGGAACACTGTTTGCAGGAGGGGCTGGTGGAATGGCTGGGGACAGGAGCAGGACTGGATAATGCCACATTTTGTACTAAGTACGAAAGGAGCCCTAGGTGCACTGGAAGTTTTTAAGCAAGTGAGTGATAGGGTCTGATATGTATATTTAAAAAGCTACTCTGTAGGGAATGAACCCTAGAGGAGGGGCCGAGAGTAGAAGCCAAGACCAGTGCCGCCAGGGAGCCATTGCAGAAATTCTCAAGAAACACAAAGTACCTTTAGGGGGCCATGGCAATGAAGCATGGAGCATAGCATCTTCATAGCAATGAGGAGAGAGGCTGAGAGATACAAATTGAAGATACATTCTCTAGGCATTATGGATGAATTTGGGTTGAATGATGGTCCCTCAAGAGATATATCCATGTCTCTCCATTGCCCTCAGCTTCCTTCCTTTTCTGCCGTAGCCTGGAAACTCACCACCAGACTTCCTTCCCTCTCCCCCGGTGTAGTGCTGATGGAATCTAAGTGGCAGACTCTTCTCCAGAATGAGAAGAAAGTGGAAGAAACCCCAGTGACACACAGCAGGTGGCTTTACTCTATGATGAGAGAAAATCTATTGCATGGAATTTGCAGCATTTTAAGGACTGTTCTGAAGTTTCTACTTTCTCCAAGGTGATGGTTACTTTCACTAGCCTGTCGCTATTATCATCTCTGGTCTCCATTGCTCCCATCCTCAGTTTAGCTCCAGGCCCCCGTGACTCTCCTGCAGCAGAAACACTGTGAGAGAGCCCCACACCTGGCCCGACTGCCCCAGCCCTCCGCCTGCCCCAGACCCTCCGGCTTAGCTCTGCTGCCAGCGTGAGGATTTCAACATGCAAGGACACTTCTCACCCTTCAGTGTCCTTGGAGAAAAAACGATAAAGCTTTTCTTGATCTAACTATGGCCCGTGTTTCTGACTTCATCTCCTCTTCCATCCCTACCAGCTTTGCATCTGACATTCAATTGCACTGACATTCATCCAGTTTCTCCAAATCCTCAGGCTCCTTCCTCCCTGCGTCTGGAATGCTTTCCTTTCCCCAATTTTCTCATTCCTTCCCCCCACCCCCAGTACACCCACTTCATTAGGGAAGCTATCCTGACATGTCCCTCTTCCCACATCCCCCTATTTTCAGCCTCAAGCCACTGTATAATTTTTATGCCTAGTCCTTATGATAGTTTTAAGTGTGTATATAGGTTTGGTGTGTGTGTGTGTGTGTGTGTGTGTTATATATATATACATATATATAGTGTGTGTGTGTGTGTATATATATATATTTATTTATATTTATACAGAGAGAGTTACCTATCAGTTTCCACTTATGAACATCAATTCCCACACCCAACAGAAGACACATTCTGCATTCTTTCAGGCACCAGGAGAAATGGTGTTGCTTTTGTGATATTCCCTGCCAGCATACAGAGCCAAACGTCACCCCACACTCACACCTTAATAATGTGCATGGTTATTTGGCAGTGTGTTTGGCTTCCCTTGAAGAAGAAAGATGATAACCAAACTCAGTTACTTCAAATAAAAAGGAGAACACATGGGCTAAACTTGATAGAATTACCAAAAAATGTTAATTTAGGAGAAGAGTCAGTAACATGTCTCAAACACAGTTCTTTTGAATACTAAGTCTCCAATACATGGCTCTAGTCTTCAGAGTGATGAAAATATGGTGTGCATCTGTACATTTTGTTTTTTCATGGCTTGTGTTTAATTATCCACAAAGAAAAAATAATTCACAAAATGTTTCATGTTCTTCTCTTTTAACTGCCAAAATAGAAACTTCTAAGACTGACAGAATTGGTGGGGAGCCCTTTGAAAGTTTTATTAATGTAGGCAGAATATGTTTTTAATCTTTTGTATTTTGATCACTAAAATGTATTTTCTATGTTTCGTTCATGCTTGCTTCTACCATATTTTAAGTAAACAAGGAGTCAGCAGTTTTGCCTTGTAAAACATATTGGGCTTTTTTTTTTTTTTTTAGTGCAGAGCTAAGATGATTAATGAACAAGCCAAATATTATATCAGAGGACTCTACTTTGTCTAGAACAGAAAGGAGGCCTTCAGACTCATTGAGAAATTAGTATCTACTGTGAGCATATTTCTTTCCTCTAAAACATAATGCTGTATATGGATGTTGTATTTTCTAGGTATTTGTAGATGTAGAAATATAAATAAATGTAAATGCTTACTTTGGGTTTCAATTGATATTTGGAGTGGGCAGTTGAAACTTAAAGCAACACATGATATTAGTAGAGTACTAAACATACTAGTACTCTTAAACTAGTACTAGTGCTTTTAAACATAAAAATGTGCAGGAGAAAATATTGAATACTGCAGCTAATCTGTTATCATTAATTGTCTTTTTTAAATTTTTAATGTTTTTATTTATTTCTGAGAGAGAGAGAGACAGCATGAGCAGGGGAGGGTCAGAGAGAGAGGGACATACAGAATCTGAAGCAGACTCCAGGCTCTGAGCTAGCTGTCAGCACAGAGCCCAACACAGGGCTTGAACCCACGAACCATGAGATCATGACCTGAGCCGAAGTTGGACGCTTAACCAAATGATCCACCCAGGCGCCCCCATAATTGTCTTTGTTATTCATGTTTTTCAAAGCTTCATTCCCATTTCACAGATCTCATTGTTTGGGGTCTATTCAAAGTGTTTGGAGCATAAACAACTGGCTGCTTATCAGTAGATGCCTTAACAGAAACACAAGATGTCTTGTCTTTGAGATGAATCTGTAAGAAGAGTTTATCGCAAACAAAATAGAATTTTGGAGTTAACAGTCTCAAAGCTGACATACTGCAAAGCCCAAACAAGAAGGCACTTCTGTAAAAATAGAAGTCAAAAAACATTTTATTGAAATAAGGTAATCTAATTTTTTTAAATAAAAAGTTTATTTTTAATTAGTGCTTTTGACCTTGTAGAGTTAAAGCCTCAGGTCCTCATTGTTTCTTGTTATTGTTAAAATTGCACTATAATCCAGGGGCACCTGGGTGGCTCAGTTGGTTAAGCACCCAACTTCAGCTCAGGTCATGATCTCAGTTCGTGGGTTCAAGCCCTGAGTCAGGCTTTAGATTCTCTGTCTCCCTGTCTCTCTGCCCTTCCCCCACTCATGCTTTGTTTCTCTCTGTCTCAATAATAAATAAACATTAAAAACTTTTTAAAAAATAAAATTGCTCTATAATCTATACAAAACAAACGAAAAAAAAAACAGTACTTCACCAGATCTTGCCTGTGTTACTAGATTTTACAGAGACGTGAACCCTCTTGCCTAACAGAGTATTATTTAAGGATTGAATAGAATGCGTAGTAATGGGAAGTTGCCCAGCAACTTGTAAACATCAGGTGATCTGAGATAGAAGCCCTGACTGCTCAACAGAAAGAACCATTTTCCATTATCCTTTTGTTCACTAATTGAGCAAGTATTATAGGGCTTCTTACATACCAGGCATAGCTCAACATGTTGAGGACACAGAAGAGAACTAAGGAGATGGTTTTGGGGAGCTTTTATGCTGGTAGGTGGAAGTGAAATGCTTAACATTTAACCACATCTTAATCTAGGAATAAATCACCTGCTATCAAAATACTTTTGAGATCTTCATCTGTGATAAAGATCTTCAATCATAGATTGAGTCCAAGAACACCAATGGAATAAATATGATACATTATTTTTCTTGATTTAAAAAAGTTGAAAAGTTCACCATGTTAGCTCCTAGTTTATCACATACAAGTGATGGCTTTCTCTATGATTAAATTTATATACATCTCCATAGAAAATTCTGCTTTTCTCTGTAGAAGAGCCAAAAAGATTTAAGATTACCCAGACAGTTAGTGGCAGAGCCAGTAACAGATTTTGCTGTTTTATTTGCAATCCCTTGATCTGATTAGTCACTTTATCTTAAACTTAGAACCTTGCCAGAGTGATCTGTTCTGGATTGGAGAGTGAGAACTGACATTTATTAAGTATTTGCTATGAGCGAGGTACTTGACATGTAGGGAGAGGGAGGTCTTATCAGACAGAATTCAGAAAGGAGGAGACTTTTCTGAACAGATAAATAAACAATAGGTAACAAGGCTGAAGTTTGGACATTGTTCCTCAGCTTTCCTCTGTGCCAGGCTACAGCTAAGTGAAAACAGTACATCTCTTTACATTTAGATTGCTTTTGAATCCAAAGTAGGGATAATAATCAACATTTAAATTCCTGTCTAACAACAGGTTCTAATGATAATTGACCTGTAATAGTACTTATTGTGCTAGGTACTTTATATGGAGCGTGTCATTTCATCTTCACGGCAACAATTACTAACCCCCAATTACGACTGACGAAACAGCTTCAGAGAGATTCAGTGGCCCGTGGTCAAACAGTTAGCAGAGCAAGGACTCAAACTTGACATTGTTGTTGGGCTAGTGCCCAGATTTCTAACCTATTTCTTCAGTGAATGTCACCAATAGGAAGTGGTGAGAGGGAGGGGCAAATGAGGGGACACTGCTTAATCTGGGACAGCATCCCACATGATTAGAGAACCTCTTCCTTGTTATCCAGCTCCCTAGTATGATGCACAGCAAAGTGGGCCGTCCCTCTCTTTCCCCTTGGAAAGAGAAACTTCAGGACACTTAGGTGGCTCTATTGGTTGAGCACCTGACTCTTGCTTTGGGCTCAGGTAGTGATCCATCCCAGAGTCGTGGGATCAAGCCCCAAGTGGGCTCTGCACTGCGTGTGGAGCCTGTCTGGCTGGGATTCTTGCTTTCTCCCTCTGCTCCTCTCCTGATTGTGCTCTCTCGCAAATAAAATAAATAAATGTAGAATGGTCTCTCTCTCTCTCTTTAAAAAAAAAAAAGAAAGAAACATATCCCTTAAAAAAAGAAAAAAAAAAAAAAGGAAACTTTAGCCAGAGACTTGCTGACTTGCTGTTGTAATTAGGGCAGATGGGGTGAGGGTCTGTAGTGGGTTTACCTGGAAGATAACAGAAAGAAGTGGTTCTCTGCTTGAGCCATGAGCATTTCCTGAAGGCACCAGTGGAGGAAGAAAGAATGGTTTCTTCACACTCATTCAGCAAAATAAGCATTGGCACAATAAATGCTGGCCAAAAACACACATGTTGGGAACAGTATCTTCTCTTTTTTTTGTAACTTTTTTGGGTCTTTTAGTCATTCACTTAAGGAATGCTGTCTGAACACCTAGGCTATATAAGTGGCCCTATGCTAGACAAAGTAGGGGACACGAAGGCATACTTTAAAGGGACATTGGAAGTGAAAACTGCAACAGAGTGATCTTAATCCAAATCTAAATGGACTTAAAAATCTGAATCAAAAATGAGTTTACAATGAAATTAGAATGTTAGGGAAGAAACTCCATAATTCAAACATAGATCTAACATAGAATTTTACAGAATAGAATAAATATCTGTCTTAATTGTAGTCACTGAATAAGCTGTCCAGTCTACCTTTCACATTTGGCTGTATAGATCATTGTTAAAGGTTGGTGGTGTTACATTATACCCTATTTCGGTAAAGTGAGATGGTACGGGTAAGGTACAGAAACTGTCATGATAGAACTTAGCAAATATTTTTTAATTTATTTTTTTAAGCTTTTATTTATTTTTGAGAGAGAGAGAGAGAGCAGAAGCAAGGGAAAGGCAGAGAGAGAAGGACACACAGAATCCAAAGCAGTCTCTAGGCGCTGGGCCGTCAGCACAAAGCCCAATGTGGGGCTCAAACTCAGGAGCCATGAGATCATGAACTGAGCCGAAGTTGGGCTAACTTAGTATTTTGAGAATAGTTGAGGAAAAATTAGATTTTCAAAAAGTGATACTAGTTACTTACCATGCATGAGAGTGCGCACAATGTCCATTGTCCTTCAGAAGGGCTCTGGAGATAAACCAAAGGAAAAAAAAGTCTTGATGTTCAACTCACAAGAACATCTCACAAGAACAACTCACAAGAACAAGCTTGCAAAAGCTTCCTCATTGCAATATTTCATTTCTGGGATGTCAGTTTATTACATATTAATTAATAAGTTGGTGTTTGAATGTGATGTCTTCCAGATGGGATTTTTAATGAAATATCTTGGTGATTTCAGGAAACACTCTACACTAGATTGATAATAAGGTGTCAAATTTTGGGTGTGTCACTCTTGGGAGGATGTCTTCACATTGCTCATCTCATTCTTTCCATGTTTCCATCGCAAAGGGTGACTGTTTTTTCTAACCTCTTCCCCATATTCTGTGACTATCCCCTATTTGGATTGTATCAGAGAGTTTATATATATAGCATGGATTTCTTTTTGATTTTTAGAAAAGTTGTATTATGGGACTTATGTAAATATTTTCCTTTTTTTCCTCCCTGATCATAAACTTGCCCTTGCTCCTGGATTTGGAACATAACCAAGCTGAAAGATGAGATCATGTTTGTAGAGCAAAGTGAGGTCTCAGCAAGAATCTACTAATTTGAAAGGCATCAGTATTTTATGAACTTGTGTACTGAAATGCCGGGGAATGAAATCAGGAGTTTAAAAGTGATTTTCATCAGTGGGGCTAAACAAAGAAAATAGAGTTTTGATTTTGCACTTTTTTCTTGTATTCACAATTAACTTATTTTCCCTTACAAAAAGAATTATTTCACTTAGAAAAATGGACTCAATAGTCATTTGTTAAAGCAAGTAATGTTAATGTCTTCCTTTTGCTTTATTTTTGGCATTATGTAAATCAGTTATAGAATGGTAACTCTTTTGTTCTTATTTTGAAGTTGGCAAAGTTTTAGACTATTATTTATTAATTTCCCAGGGTCCTTTTTTTAATATGGAGGAATTTATTTCTTTTTCATTAACTGTACATGATTATTATTTATTAATAGTCTTATTTGCTTTTGCAATATGGAAAATAATTTCCTTTTTTTCATGTAATTACACACATACTATACTGCTTAGGATGCAAAACATGAGGATAACAAATTCTTTTTTTTTTTTTGCACATGTTTACCACATGTGGAGCTTATGAAGAATAAGCATGAGTCAAGAATGTCCCACCCCAATGCCCTTTGAAACATTTTTATGTGGTTCCATGAAATAGAGTATATTTTAAGAGATGCCCTGATGGCCTTGCTAAGGTCCTTGTTTTCAGACAATCCAATTTAGACTATCTGCTGTGGGTATCTCTTGTTTTCACTTACTCTGCCATCCTCCTCTGTCAGGAATCAGATCATGATTTTCTTTTGGGAATCTCCTCTCCCCAGGCCAAGGTTCCTAGTGAGATGACCACAGTGCCCCACCTACTCTGAACTAATAAGAATGTTCTCTGAGATTTGTTTCTCTCCGATCTATAGCTGCCAGGAGAGAGAGAGAGGAGCTCCTTTTACTCTGCTGTCAAGCTGAAAGAACCACATAAGCCTGCAGCTTATGGTCCTAACCCCAGGCTTCACGGAAGAAGCTCTCTGCACAATGATGCCAACACACGAGAGAGCTGGAGTTCTGGCAACGTTTACCACCATCTGAAGCGAACTCAAGCCTTCAACTTTCCAGTCGCTGGAGCCAATACATTCCCTTTTTCTTAAGCTAATTGGAGTGTCATTTCTATCACTTTCAACCAAAAGAGCTTTGGATATTACTTTCCATCTAGAGGTGAGAATGATCAACTAACTCAGTGCAAGCAAAAGTAACTTGTCAACAGTTCTGAGTAATAGAAAATCTTATCAAAATTTCTTTTGGAAAAGTAGTAAGTTTTTGTTGGTTTGGAATACTAAATTTAGAAAGCTCAAATAACTGACATTTTCCTGTACCCTAGAGACAAGTGTTAAGTAAAATAACTGACCCTAAGGATTATTCAAATATGTAATTCCAAGTTATGTCAGAGTATCATTATAGATTCAGCTTAATCACCTATATCTTCAACCTCAATAGGATTATTCTATAGGAGTTGATGCCAAGAGAAATGATCCGGAGGCTCTGTGCTAATACTAGGTACAATGTATTGGCACATTTCATGTGCCAGGAAGTGTGGAAAGCCTGTCATTGTTTTTCATTTAATTCTTACAGAAATTTTAAAAAGTAGATGTTGTTATTTCCCTTTTACAGGTAAGGAATCAGGGTCAGCAGTACGCTCAAGTTCACACAGCTAGCAAATAGTAGAACCAACATCTAAGCCTGTATCTTTCTTTTTTTTTTTTTACATTTATTTATTTTTGAGAGACAGAGTGAGACAAAGAGCAAGCAGAGGAGGGACAGAGAGAGAAGGAGACACAGAATCTGAAGCAGGCTCCAGGCTCTGAGCTGTCAGCACAGAGCCTGATGTGGGGCTCCAACCCACGAACTGTGAGATCATGACCTGAGCTGAAGTCGGATGCTTAACTGACTGAGCCACCCAGGTGTCCCTAAGCCTATATCTTTCTAATTTCAAAGCTTAGGCTTTTACCACTGTTCTCTCTTTAAGTTTCCAAAGTTCATAAGAATTCAGTCAGTTACCAATTTTCCAACATATTTTGGAGATATTCCTGGCTTCTAGTGGATATATCTATATCCATATATAATTGTATAATATATAATAAATGTATTTTCTAGAAGGTAATTATATATATATAAGTTTTTATGAACTTATAAATATATGTGTATATACATATATATATATTTTTTAAACCTACTATGAGCCAGGTTTAAGAATTTATAATTCACATGAGAGTCTTATTTCAAACCTCTTATGGGTAAATCACAATTTGCCATCAGCAATTCAAGATCTGATTTTTATTTGTTTATTTTTAAAATTTTTAAAAATGTTTTATTTATTTCTGAGAGAGAGAGAGAGACAGCGTGAGCAGGGAAGGGTCAGAGAGAGAGGGAGATACAGAATCCAAAGACAGGCTCCAGGCTCTGAGCTAGCCGTCAGCACAGAGCCCAATGCGGAGCTCGAACCCACGAACCGTGAGATCATGACCTGAGCTGAAGTCAGACGCCCAACCGACTGAGCCACCCAGGCACCCCTGAATTTTATTTATTTTTATTTTTTATTTTATTTTATCTTACTATTGATTAATTGGTTGAATGATTGTATGAGACCTGAATTTTAAATTTTTTGTCTTATGAGAGAAAGAGGCCTAGGCTGGAATAGGAAAAAACAAAACAAAACAAAACAAAAAACAAAGTGAACTAACCAATCCACTAGACTTTTAGCAGAATCTAGGGTTGCTGTTGTTTCCAAAAATGCACAAACCCTCAGTAATTTTGGAAGCCTTGGAAGGCATGTCTGCTGATCTATGAGATCCTAGGCATCGCAGGCAGGCAGGGAGTGGAGAGTGTGGCACGGGTCCTCATCTACAAACTTCTTCTTTCATAAGCCAAGTCTCATGTGTGGGTGTGGGCTGCTGACCCCCGTCATCTGGATGTGTGACAATAACTTGTTTTCATGTGGACTCTTCATAACCGGGAGCTGTATTGGCATTGCATGTTTGCTTTAACTTCCCACACAGAGACTAAGTCCAAAATGTAATTAATTGAGCCCTTATTTGAAAAAAGGGGGAAAAAAAGTGTTCTGTGTATTTAGGGTCCCTAAAATGATGTGAACAAATATTTTCAAAACTAAACTAATCCAAACAGAACTATGGTTTCTAATGGAGGAGTGAAAAGAGTTAGGGATTTGGAGAGAGAACACCTTGGCTTTGAGTTTCAGACAACCACTTAATATATATATGGTTTTGGACAGATAATTTGTACCTCAGTTTTTCTTTGTTTTGTTTTTTAAAGTATATTTATTTTGAGAGAGAGGATAGCATGAGCGGCAGGGAGGGGGGAGTGAAGGGAGGGTCAGAGTAAGAGGGAGAGAGAGAATCCCAAACAGGCTCTGCACTGTCAACGTGGGGCTCAAACTCACAAACCATGAGATCATGACCTGATTCTAAATCAAGAGTCGGACACTTAACCGACTAAGCCACCCAGGCACCGCAGTACTTTGTAAGTTTTAAAGTACTAATATTATAATAGGCCCTCCTAATATTGATGAGAAAACTTCCTAGAAATCTCTTGAGAATCAGAGAAACACACACCTTCATTCTGATATGTTTATTTCCATAGAATTTCAAAAAGAGTTGAAAAAGTCAGCTTAATATCTTCAAACTTATAATGCAGTATGCAGTAGTGTTTGTAATGTTCAAATATATACAATGCTATTATTTAAACAAATAGCCGAGTAAAACCAGATTCAAATCTTTCTTATCTTAATCTTATGAAAGATCAAGCAATTGCAAAAATGATTCTCTTGTTTCGTTCTGATTTTTAAATATAATTTACCTTAATTGTATACTTGTAATTTTGGTTCTTGCTGTGATTTCCTTTCATATTGGAGAAATTACTTATTTTTCTTTGGAGACCACTTGTTTAAGTTCCAGGTAATTAAATATTTGAATTAACAAAGAGTTGTTATATATTTTTCAAGGAAGAAAGGGAATAAAAATATACATAATAAATACATAAGACTATAAAAAAAACCCAACAACCAGAAAATAAGTGTTGTGGGGGGATGTGGACAAAACCCTTGTGCGCTGTTGGTAGGAATGTAAAATTATGCAGCCACTGTGGAAAACAGTATAGAATATCCTCAAAAAGTAAAAAATAGAATTACCTTACAATCTAGCAATCCTACTTATGGACAAACAGACGAAAGAAGTGAAAGCAGGGTCTCAAAGAGATAGTTGCATTCCCATGTGCACTGTAGCATAATTCACAATAGCCCGGAGTTGCAAGCAACACAAATGTGCATCAGTGGACAAATTACTAAGCAAAGTGGTATGTACACAAGGGGATATTATTTGGCCTTCAAAAAGAAAATCCCATAACATACTGTAACATGGATGGGCTTGAGGACATTATGCTTCATGAAATAAGCCAGTCACAAAAGGGCACGTACTGTATGATTCCATTTATAGGAAGAGTCTAAAATAGTCAAGTTCATAAAAACAGAAAATAAAATGGTGTTGTCAGGGGTTGGGGGAAGGGAGAAAGGGGAAGTTGTTATTTAATGGGTATAGAATTTCAGTTTTACGAGATGGAAAAGTTCTGGAGATGTACAACAGTATGAACACTGAACTGCAAACCTAAAAATGGTTAAAATGGTAAATTGTATGCTGTGTGTTTTTCACCACAATTTTTAAAAGACTGTATATGAACCCAGTTTAATTTGGGAGGTGATTCAGAATACTTCTTTAGTATCTTAATGTCTGATGGTAATTTATCTTCACACTGGAGCTGAGAAGCAGCAGCTCAGATATTTGACTCATATTACAAAGAACTGAGGTACAGTAGTCCGTAGACCTAGTGTTTGTCTCAAGGTGGGGCAGTAGGCAGCATCTCAAGTCAGGGAGTTTCTTACCGTTTTGTGAGGACTAAGTAAAGGCCATTTGTAGGCAGAAAGGCAGACAGAGAAGAAAAGGGCCTGAATTTTGGTCTAGAACTCTTTCTCTGAAACGTGAGCCAGAGACAACATTCTGGAACCTCATTCTAGGAGATATCAGTCACCAGTAGAGGAACTATTTGTTGATGAAATACACTGATGAAATGCATAACTGTTTAAATTAAATAATAAACCATGTTTTTTAATCTTATATCAGAGTTTCCCAGATTGTGTTCTGTAGAACATTAGTTCTATGGGTATTATATTGTAAAAAGGATACTGGGGCCAAAATGTTTGGAAAATGTGGAGTTAAAAAGAGTTAAAAATATGATTTTTTTTACTCTAGAACTTTTTAGAGGCTTTACTATGTTAATGTTAATATTAATGTAACTGCACCAACATTAAATATTAGGTGGTAATATTTAATGGTTAGTATGTTGGCATTGATGTTAATACATTAATTAATATCCATGTGGGGTGCCTGAGTGGCTCAGTCAGTTAAGCGTCTGACTTTGGCTCAGGTCATGATCTCACGGTTCGTGGGTTCGAGCCCCACGTTGGGCTCTGTGCTGACAGCTAGCTCAGAGCCTAGAGCCTATTTCAGATTCTGTATCTCCCTCTCTCTCTGACCCTCCCCTGCTCACGCTGTCTCTCTCTCTCAGAAATAAATTTTTAAAAATCCATGTGAATATATATTTTTTAAAATTTTAATGTTTATTTTTGACATTGAGAGAGATAGAGTGTGAGTGGGGGAGGGCCAAGGAGAGAAGGAGACACAGAAGCTGAAGCAAGCTCCAGGCTCTGAGCTGTCAGCACAGATCCCAACACAGGGCTCAAACCCACAAGCTGTGAGATCATGACCTGAGCTGAAGTTGGATGCTCAACCAACTGAGCCACTCAGGCACCCCCACCATGTGAATATATTAATGTTTTTCCTAATCCTATCTAACCAAGGAAGCAGTCCTTGGCATACTAGTGTGAGAATGCTGCCCTACATTATAAAAGGTGTGATATTTTTGTCAGCTGCTTTCCTTAAGAGAAAAACTTTCTTTCATTTCCCCTGAGTTTGCGGTGAAGTCCATCTCTTTCACCGTGAGCACCACTGGGGAAATATAAAGAAAGTAGCGCTGCTGCAGTTTTCATATTCATTATTTTGAAATACTGTAAAGCTGTATGATGATTTG